TGGGGGGGGGCAACAGTGGGAGGGCTTCTAGTGTCCTGGCCCCAATGCTGGTCCTCCTGAGGGCACCTGGTGTTTCTGGCCACTGTGTGGCACAGAAGAGTGTTGGACTGGATGGGCCATTGGCCTGATCCAACACTGGCTTCTGTTATGTTCTTGTGTGCTGTCCATCTGCAGGCACCTTATGGCAGCTCTGGAGACGTTCAGAGGTGTCGGGCGGGGGGGGGTTGCCATTGCCTGGCTCTGTGTAGGAGACCTGGGCTTCCTTGGTGGTCTCCTGTCCCAATGTCAACCAGAGCCGACCCTGCTTAGCTTCCCAGACCTGATGAGACTGGGCTCGCCTGGGCCTCCCAGGTCAGGGCCGGTGGAGGTGGGCCAGTGGTTTTGTCCCCGCATGGGAGCGGGGCCTGATGCCGAGAGCGGTGTGACCCGGGAGTCCCTGAGAAGAAGCACAGTCCAGACAGGAGGCCCCCCAGCTGGCCGTTCTCCGCCGCAGCGCCTGCTCCGCAATGAGCTCTCCCTCCTTTCTTCCCCGCCAGGTCGCGACATGGCCAGCACCACCCTGCCTGGCTACCCACCCCACGTCCCGCCGACTGGACAGGGCAGCTACCCGACCTCCACTCTGGCCGGAATGGTGCCTGGTAAGTCCCTCCTCGCTTGACGCACTGGCAACGGCTCCCGCTGGGGTCAGGATAGAAGAGGCTGGGCCTGCCCCCTGCCCGGCTCTCCTGGGGCTGCTGAGGCCCACCTCCCAAGACAGCGGATTGCTTGCCGCTTGATGTGGCTCCCGAGTCCACGCCTTCCTCTGACTTGCTGTAGCACAGAATGCCCCCTTCTTTTGTCTACAGTCAGCCTTTGGGTGGACGGCATGCCTTCCAGGCCTCAATCCGTGGACTTGTGCCCCCCCCCCCCGTTCACTCTGCAGGGGCCACTTCCTGTGTGACGTTTGTCCTTCAGACGAGTCCCTTCCGTAAGGCAAAACTGCCGCGTGGGCATTCTTAACGCATTGCCCACCGGACATGGCTGTGCACGGACATGTCCTTGTAGATGGGAAAGCCTCTCTCGGGAACACACTTGTGAGTCAGATGTTGAAATGCCTGAAGCTGCTTGGGAATACACATGCTAAAGGACTCTCATCTTTTACTTTGAGTCCGTTTTGCTTCAAGTTGTGTAAACACAAACCCTTGGATTGGCTACAGCTAACTAGGATTTAAATCATGGGAAAGCAAGAGACCAGAACAGTTCCGACGGTGCTTCTTTCAGAGGCTGGGTTGTCTTCAGTGAGGAGGTTCTCACAGTGCCCATCATGAAGTGCTTTTCCACCCTCCCACCTGGGGCGTAGAAATGGCAGAGAGAGCTGGGAGAAGCCCCTCGGGACGGACGTCTGTGGGAGCATGCATATGCCAGGAGTGTCCACACACCCCACTTCACCCGTTCCCATCTCTGGTTTTTACGCCTGCCTCATCCTGCCTCATATTGGCCATCCTAGAAAGAGTTGAGTCTCTCACCTTGGGGGCAGCCCAGCTGCTGGACCTGTCCTGAGGAAGGTGGACATCCCTGGTGAGCCGAGTTGCTCAGTCCGGTGGGCCCAGCAGGACACCCTGTGGATCATCTGCTTTAAAACTGGATTGGGTTGGTGGGCTGGGGCTATTCCTCAGAAAGCAGACCCACGATCGCTGGGGCTCCGCCTGGGCCCGCCATAGCCAGGGGGGTGGTTGTGGCTTCTGTAGCTGGCCTTTCTTGCCCCCCTGCCACTCTCTCCTCCGCATCCGGGACTTTAGCGGGGGGGGGGAACCCTAAGGCCAGAGGAGAACGGGGGTCACACAAAAAGGAGCCAGCTGCAAGGGGAGCCGTTAAAGAGAATCCAGCGCTGATGAGGAAATTACATGTGTTTCATTAGTGATCTGGGAAGGAGATAGCTCAGTTCCTCTTGGTCACAGTTGAGCTCAAAAGCTCATTATCCAGCGGCACGCTTCCTTTCACTCCTCGTCAATAAACAGGGTCTCACGCCCACTGCCTCCCCCTCCCTGGCTCCCCTTGGCTGCTCAGGAGGGGGGGGAGAGAGAGAGAGAGAGAGAGAGAGAGAGAGGATCTTTCTCCTCTACTTAACCTGCAGTTCAGGATCATTGTAAACAGTTTCGGGTGACACAATCCGTGAGGAAGAGAGGGAGGGTCAGAGCGGACAGTCCAAGGTAGGCCGTGGGAGGAAGTGCCTGTCTGGCACCTTGGAAACAGACACGGTTTTCTGCAACGGAGACAACCTGGAGAACCTGAAGGATGCTTCCGTCCAGGGTCCTCGATCCAGCCCCCCACCCCACGCACTACGCTGCCAGCCTTCCTCTGGCAGGCCTTTGCCCTTAGAGGGCCACCTGTTGCCACGCTCTGCTTCAGTCCCGAACCACTAGGCCATCCCACCATGAGAGAAGAGCGCTGAAATGGAGCCAGGCAGCCTCACATCTGGGGGCAGAAGGAAGGGGAGGGATCTTGCGGTGGGCCCCATTCGTGCCTGCATCCCACAAGTGGGCCAGGGCTCGCCGGCGGAGAGTGGTGTTGGGGGGCCAACCTCCAGGTGCTGCCTGGAGTTTCCCTGAAATCACAGCTGATCCCCCAGATGACAGCGATCTCTGCTCCCTGGAGCAAATGGCAGCTTTGGAGGGGGGGGACTCTAGGGCATTATACCCCACTGAGGTCCAGCCCCTCCCCAAACCCCGCCTTCTCCAGGCTCCACCCCCCAAATGGCCAAGAATCTCCCAGCCGAGAGTAGGCAACCCAGCAGCGGCGGCAGCAGATCCTGCCCACCACCTCATGGCGATGGCGGCAGTGCTGCTGCCCACCTTGTGTGGGGCGGGGCAGGGGGGGAGCCCCGGCAGGGGATAGCCCCCAGGCCATGGGCTCACTGCATCCTTCCCCGGCGGCCTTTGTGAGCAATCCGAAGCCGTAGAGTCAGCGGGCCACTGGCTGGCAGAACCAGGCAGTGGGCAGAAGGAGGGTCTTTTTTTTCAGAAGGCTGCTACCCCTCATGACAATACACAGCCAGCCTCTGACAGGGGCAGGCTCCAGCCGTCTGGGAGTGGGGCTCTTCTGGCAGCTGGTCCCTTCCTCCCCTGGAGAGCTCCGTTCTCCTCAGGGCCGGTTCTCCTCCTCCTCCCGCAAAGAGGGGCCCCAAGGTTTCCGGCAGGGGCCCCTTCCTTGCCAGCACCCCACTGCTGCCCCTCTTCCCGGCTGCACACTCTGCCTCTGGGACCGCTGGGGGGAGCGGCCTGCCCGCAAAGGGGAGCCCAGGCAGCTGGGAGGGCGAGTGAGCAGCGGAGGGAAGGCAGGCGGGCAGGCGGGTGGGGGGAGAGGGAGGCCTGAGTGCCAGGTGGTGGGCAGAGGAGGGGAGGGGGAGCTCCCTTCCCCCCTCCCCGGGCAGGGCCCTCCAAAACCTTGCTTCTCTTGCCCACCCACCCCCGATCTGCTAAATGAAGAAGAGGAGGAGGAGGAGGAGATTGGGTTTATACCTACTGCCCTTCACTTCCTAAAGGAGTCCCAGAGCGGCTTACAAACTCCTTTCCCTCCCCCTCCCCCCAACAGACACCCTGTGCGCAATGCTCCCTCTAAGCTGTGGAGTCTTGTGAGCATTAAAGTTGTGAGCGAGCAATTTGGCTACTGCATAAATTAGTTTGCTCTGGAGCCCTCCTTCCTGAGCAAAGACTAAAATGTGTGAGCCGGAGGCTAAAAAACTGTGAGCTAGCTCACACTAACTCAGCTGAGAGGGAACACTGCTTGTGAGGGAGGTGGGGCTGAGAGAGGTCTGACAGAAACTGCTCTTTTTCGAGAACAGCTGTGCCAGAACTACGGCTTGCCCAAGGTCATCCAGCCAGGTGCGAGTGGAGGAGGAGTGGGGGAATCAAACCCGGTTCTCCCAGATTAGAGTCCGCGCACTTCACCACGACACCAAACTGGCTCACAAGAAGTGGTCTTGCTCCTTCTGAGAGACTGACCACTGTATCGTTGGATAAGTCTGAGGAGTTGGGTGCCTCTTTCAGAGCAGATGCGGGGTCTCCGTCTCCATCTCTGGCCCTTCTCCTGAAGTTGGCCACACTGTCTGACCCTCTGCCTCTTCCTGGCCCCAGAGGACCACTGTGGTACAAGTGGACCTGCCACCCCCCACAAAGGATGCCTCGGCTATTGCAACCCCACCACCAGCAGCCGATGACGTTTGGAAGTCCCAGGCTGCCCAACCCCAGAGAGGCGCAGATCAAGTCAGATTTTAAACCTGGTGGAAACAGGAGAGTCCAGGGAGCAGAAAGAAGGGCCGCAGGCATCCATGGTGCCCGTGAGAAATAAAGGTGCAAAAGGGTGATGTCCTATTTCTGCCGAGGCCTCCTCCTCCCTTGGTCGTCAGCTGCAGAATTTCACAAGGCTTCCTTTCCCTCGGTTCATCATGTACTTTATGAATGCCCCCCCCCCTTTGCTGTTTCTAGGGAGTGAATTCTCAGGGAATCCATACAGCCACCCTCAGTACACGACCTACAACGAAGCCTGGAGGTTCAGCAACCCGGCGTTACTAAGTGAGTATCTGCTCTGACCGGCCGCACAGCCCCCCCCCACCTCTCCTTCTCTCCCTCCTGCTTGTCTCTTATTTGTTTCTAGCTTGCTGGAGAGCGGGGAGAAGGGGCTGTCCCCCACAGATGTCCTCTCTGGCCACATAACTCCTTCCCCTGGGTAGTCGGAGGAGGAGGAGTTGGCATCCCCCTCTCTTGGGAGGGAGGGGGGGCCATTCAGGGAGCAAGTCTGAAGTCACCTTCTCGGGGCACACAGCCATCCTCCCAGCGGCATCGGAGCTCGGCCACTGCTAGAGTGGCTGGAGGGGTCACTCAGTCGGGACCAGCGCCCCGCTTCATTCAGCCAGGAGGAGGCAGGAGAAGAGGGAGGGTAAGTTGCTTCCTCCCTGCCTCTCCCCACCCCTGCCTGCCTGGGGCCAGGGAGGGCCTTCGCGGGGCTTCCTTGCACTCCCGCCGGCCTTGCAGGTCCACCGCCGGGCCCCTCATGGGGCTTGGCAGTGGAGCTGCAAGGCTGGCGGTGGCAGCCGGGACCGTTGGGGGCGGGGTGTGTGGCCTTATGACACATTTCCGGTGATGTCAGGGGGTGTGGCATATGCTAATGAGTTATGCTAATGAGTTTCCCTAGCTCTTTTTCTATGAAACGACCCCTGGTCGGGACTGCACAGCTTCCAGACCAGACCCTGCCTCGGCACAGGTGGGCCCAATCTGGGGAGGACCAAGAACGCCAGGGCGCACTCACCAGCACACATCCGTGCGCACACCGTACACATGCGCGCGCAGTGCAACCGCCCCAGTTTTTAGCTGCTGCTCAGGTCAGCCTCACCCAGACTCCTGAGTTCCGGGGAGAACGTCTGAGGCGCCACTGAATGCAGCCTTTGACAACCTGGTGTGCTCAACAAAGGAGCGGTCTGTCTAGAGGGTGGGGGGGGAGAAGAGCCGCTCCCTCCCAGGGCATTCCTCTGTCAGAGGATGGGCAGAGACTGATTATAGGGAAAACAAATAAACCACCGCTGCTCACTGCATACTTGCAGAGCCTTTAGTACCTGAGTGATATTGTCTTCCAGCATTGTTAACATCTGAGCTCTGATGACAAACAGAGCTACTGAAAGCCCCTCCTCACCAATGTTCCCTCTAAGCTGTGGAGTCCTGTGAGCAAAAATTCTACTTTGGGAGCTACTGGCATTAAAGTTGTGAGCAAGCAATTTGGCTACTGCATACATTAGTTTGCTCTTGAGCCATCCATTCCTGAGCGAAGACAAAAATGTGTGCGCTGGAGGCTAAAAAACTGTGAGCTAGCTCACACTCACTCAGCTTAGAGGGAACACTGCTCCTCACCAGTCAGTGGGAGGCCAAGCTTAAACTGTGGTTTGAAGCAGACAATATCCTTTCAGCGAGTCACATGAACCGGCCTTGTGGCCCATGCTGTGCACGCCTGTGCCACAATCACCGTGGGTAAACAGACTTTGCACCTTTTTGTGGGGCTTCTAAACCTCACACGACTGATTAGACAAGAGGAACTTTGGGTGCATGCTGGTGGGGAAGCGCTTCCTCCGTCACACAATCGCCACTTCTCTTAATAACTAAGGTCTCGCTCCAGTTCTTCTTCTTTCTTGAAAAGCACCACACACACACACACACACTTACCAGGTGCAAAGGACTGTGCCTGTGAGGAAATGCTGATGGCTGGCAGGGCAATTGCTACTGTGAGAGAGAGGCAGGGGCATTTGAGCGCCCAGCACCTGAAACCGTGCTGCCGTGGGACGTTTCCACTGCCACAAACTTGACACTCCAGATTTAGGACTAGTTCGGATGCGATTGAAAGACCCCCATTACAAGAATGGTAGTTTAGGAAGTTTGGCCGGCACCACTTTGGGAAGTGGAAAGGAGAAGGTGTCCAGAGTCCGGCTTGCACTGAGTAAGGGCCAGGTTCCCGCCAGGGCATGGCAGGTGAGGAAATGCTTACAGTGCAAACCTCAGCAGAGTTACACTACTGAAGTTGAGAGGCTGAGAGAAGGGTTTGATTCCGTGTCAGATTCTGCGCCGCCGTCAGGCAGAAGGGGACTTACCTCAGAAGCTTTGAGGGGGAAAGAGCCAGCACACCAGAGGCCACGGGGATTCCCGGACGGTTCCACGGAAGGGCTGGTCTGTTTGGCTGCTGCAGACTGGAGTGGGCCGGGGGGCCCCCCGGGGGGGGGGGGACAGTGGCTCCTCTTTGTGGACAGGAGACAGCCGGAAGTCAGATCAGCTGACTCAGGCCGTCCTTCTGGGTCTGTGGTCCTCAGAGAGATGCTCCTGCACAAGCCAAGTAATTACGGAATCACTTTTATATGGGCAGAGAACCCTGGAGAGGTTTACAAGCACCCATTTTGCCACTGCGAGACAGCCCCCCCCCATCTATTTGCAGGGATTTTTAACCCCCCCCCCCCAGATCCTGCTGCCTGAGACAAAGGCCTCCGCGTGATTTATGCAGGCTGCTTATCCTGAGATGGGACAGGCTGGAGACGAGAGGCCTTTTCCCTCCTCCAGGGTTCTTTCCCCTCCATTTCATCCCTTCTCTGCTTATGATGAGTCCCTTGGTCGTGTAAACACATTGCAAAGTGGGAGGCATCAAGCAGTCGTTTTCCTACAAAAACTGACGGTGTAAACAAGCTGAGAGGGAAGACAGCCCCCCCCCCCGCATCCCACAGGGATATTTCTCCAGCGAGCGGTATTGTGTCTTGTTTCACTGGTATTGCTATTATGCCCTTTCTGTCTCTGGTCCCATCCCCACAAGCCTCCGCTGCTTCCTTTCCGTACATCCTCTGACCCAGAGCCGTCTCTTTCGCCCCAGGCAGCAAAAGGAGACCTCGGGCACTTTCGCCGTCCAAACTCGGCGTGGGGGAACACTGGCCTTGGAGCCAGGCCCTGCTCAGCCATGGACTTCAACGGCTCAGCCTCTTGCTTCAGGTCCACCGTTTCTCGAATGGAAACGTTCATTAGATGGCCCAGTGAATAAGGATTCTCAAGAGTGTTCGGTGCTGAAAGTACAATAGAAGTTATTTTGCCTGTGAGAATGGCAGAACCGTGTTTCCTTCCAAGGGTTTGGCTCGCCAGGCCCATGGAACCCACTGAAGTCCCTTGGAACCGGTTGGCAGAGCAACGTTTACTGTTTGGTTTGCCCCCTTCAGCATTGCATTGTTTACCCTCTAGATGCTGCTGTTCCCTTGTCCAGGGGGCACCCAGCACTTACATATGTATAGAAGCGCCATCAAGTTGTAACTAACTTCTGGTGACTCCCAGCTAGGAGCTTCCAAGGCAAGGGAGAGGCAGAGGTGGTTGGCCACATGGCCTTCCTCTGCGGGGCCTTCCTTGGCGGTCTCCCTTCCAAGTACTGACCCTGCTGAGCTTTCCAGGCTCTGACCAGATTGGGCTACGCCATTACACCTTCCATCCCCACCTGGTACTTGCAGCCTGCACTCACAGTCCTTGCGCCTCTGCTTCTTACCTGGGAGAACTGGTATCCCACAAAATAAATGTCTGTTAATGAAGGTGTGGGTGAGAAGTGGGTCTTGCTGTGCGCAAGAATGAGGCCCAAATCTCTCCCCCACTCCTGGCAGAACTGGGAGTGACCCCTCAGATACTCACAGATAGGCAACGAGGAGCAGCGCATGTAGCCCCCAAACACTGCAGCCTTTAACGGAGGAGGAGGTCCAGTGGGACCTGAGCGAGGCCCGGCTCCAGTGTGGTGTTCTGCTTCTGTGGGGCAGCTTTTGGAATGAGTCTGGGGGTAAAATGTCATGGAATCAGTCCGATGACCTTCCTGAGCAGGTTCTGACTGGAGTCTAGCTGCCAACGGTTACACCCGAACTTTCCTTCCAGTTTATTTACCACGCAGGTGTAGACTACGCTGCCATCTCTGTTCTGCATCTTAGCCATGAATGCAGCGACCCCCAATGTGGAGCCAGAGGGCCTGCCAATCTGTCTTCTGGTACTCCCTTCCTTCCTTCCCCACAGCAAAAAGCTAATCCTTGGCTTCCTCCATCTCTGTGGAGCAAGAGGTGCTCCAGGAGAGGCCGGAGTCCAGCCACCTGTAGGAAAACAGCCATTTTTATCACAGGAAGATGCTTAGCTTTGATTCTGCCAGTACCTGGTGACTGGACCCACAGCCCATGGCAGCCGTTTGGTGGTGGTGCGCACTCCGCACTTTCAAAATTCCCAAAAGGTCCACAGGCTCAGCAAGGTTGGGGACCCCTGCATTGATGAATCTCCCTCTCCAGATGTCCACCTTTAGTTCTTTTAATATCCCTTTAATTTCCTTTTACTTTCTCTCTCTCTCTCTCTCCCTCTCTCTCTCTCTCTCTTTCTTTTTTTATTTTACTGTGTGTCCTTTCAATCAGTCCATTCTTCTCCTGTGTTAACTTTCAGGTTCCCCTTATTATTATAGTGCCACATCCCGGGGCTCCGCACCTCCCACTGCTGCCGCTGCCTATGACCGCCACTAGTTACCACGGAAACCACATGAAACTGCAGGGCGATGGCCTGGGCCTCCATATTGTACCTGTCTGATGAACGCTCCTCCTCCTCCTCCACCGCCGCCGGGAAGGACAAAGAGGCCCTCTCTGTCCCCCCTCACCTGCCCCCTCCGCCCTGCCCTCCTCCTTAGGACTACCGAACAAACTGGGAAGTTGTACATTTGCGGCCACCAGACTGACAAGCTTGTGCCCTCTGCAGTCCAAGCAAGCGACTCTGCGGGATGACGACAAAGGCAGGCCCCCGTGGCCACCGCAGACTGACCGAGCCTCCTGAATCAGGCCTGGGTTCTTCAGCCACCTTCCTTTGGCAAGAGGCTTCCCCAACTTCTCCTCCAACCGTGAGAGGAATCTGAGCAATACGACCTGCTACACGGCTCTTGTTCTGGGAGTGGTACAGATGGGAGAATGCCACTCGCAATTCACGGTTCCCTCGAGAGATGGTGTTCTGTGGAAACCTCAAAATGATGAACAGCTCTCTTTCCGGAAGCCAGAGAGGGAGCCGTTTGGTTCAGTCTGGCGGGGGGGGGACGGGGGAGACCTCTGCCGTGCTGTATGTGCTTCACAAGGGTTTCTTTGTGCGGTCCGTTCCCTTAGGTTGGTCGAGCTAGTTCCAACTGAAGACTGACTGCACCCTCTGTGATATGATCTTGCAGACTGGAGACGGGCAGCAGGGTCACCAACACGCACATATGCTCAGACACGCAGACACACGGCCAGGTCAGGCAGCAGGACAGAGTTACATCAACCAACCAAGCCGCAGGCAAAACGAAGAGCGATATAAATAGATATATAAATATAACTGTTTTTAATGCTTTGTCCTGAAGGTCTGTAAAAAGGAAAAGCAAGAGTGAGAGAATGAATCCCCAGTTTTCTAAAAGCAAAAAGACCCAGCAAAAAATGAGCTGAAATAATCACCTTGACCCAAGTGGCAGGCATGTTCTTCTGAAGAATAGTGTTCCCCTTTCTGTCCTGGATTTCATTCCTTTTCTGTTGTGCTCCAGAATGTCCATGTGCGGTGAGGAAGCGTGCAAGTGCCATTCTGTGGGGAGCTGTCCACACCCCAGACGTAGTTAAGGAGCAGAAGAAAGCTCAAAATAGTCCCATCCCACCCCACATCCCGCCCACCTGCCCAGGTGGCGTCAGAAGCAAAATCCCTCCAATGGTCCCTTGGCTGTCCAGCCTTCCTTCGGTGGTTCCTGCTAGCCAGCTTCTCGCGGAGGGCCTGGAGGAGGGTGGGGCTTGGGTCAGCGATATTCTGGGGTGGGTGGCACACTCCCCGAAACTTGCACTTTCCTTTTGTGTTTGAACCCGCCTTATGTTTCTGACCAAGTCTTATGGCAATCAGCTTAATGGGCTTTAGGGGCTGTTCATGTCCTAGAATTCTGCATATATGTATAAAAAGCCAAGCAGAACTTGGATTACTTGACAATTTCACTTAGTTGGGTTTGGTTTTTGAAAACAGCACATTTCTTGGGGGACGGCCCTCCCTGTGTGGCTCTGTCCCTCCTTCACAGCATCCACAAACCCTACGACCCACTGATTTTCTGCTGCCCCCCCACTATGACCCACTCCGGCCTACAAACTGTCAAATTCCTGGGGCGAAAGTAAACCTGCAGGTGGGGCAAGCTGATGCCAGACCGGCGCATCTGCATTAACTGTGTTGCTTTCCGTACATACGTTGTTGTGCATGCCGAATCCTGCAGGGTGTCTGGGTGTGAGTGCAGAATCCAGGGACACCGGTTGTGGGAAGTGTTGCAGAAGGTGGCAAGTCTGCGTCCTTCCATCTAGCCTAATCCTGGAGTGGGAGGAAGTACGCTGAAGGGAATGGAATGTTGCTAGGTTAGCGGTTCTCAAACTATGGAGAGGGCATGCTCATTTCTGGGGGGACACCATATCCCTGCAGCCTCTTCCCAAGGCCATGCATTGACTTGAGTCAAGCAGCAGGAACCTGCCTCCGAAAGGAAGGGCTCGGGGTGTACCTCGTTCCTTCTACGGGCTGCCAGTAAGAGAACACGGTGGGTGGGTTGGGACTGCCTTTGGTTCGATTGCAGCAGGAACCTGCCTCCGAAAGGAAGGGGTCGGGGTGTACCTCGTTCCTTCTACAGGTTGCCAGTAAGAGAACACGGTGGGTTGGGACTGCCTTTGGTTCAATAGACCCCCTTCCGTGGGGCTTTCAAAGCATGCCGATTTCCAGGAGCCCCACAGCACCGTGCCTCTCTTCTCGTCTCTGTAACCTGCTCATTCCAGGCAAACAAACCAGCTTCCGAAAACCATTCAGTTGTATGTGGAGAGAAGACCCCAACAATTGTTTGAGCTGGTCAAGGAGGCTCCCCAGAACAGGCAGGTGTGTTCTAGCCCCCCCCCCAAGTCGCACCAGTGCTGTGCATGCCACAGATACACCCCCCCCCCGAGTCAAAGATCATTGTCTAAATCTGCTCGTGGGTCTCTTTCCGGGCACTCACGGAAATATCATTCCACCAGAAATGGGTTCAGTGCCACCTCTCATCTCCTTGTCTGAAACGCAGCTGTAGCTGGCTAGGACTGCTGCTTCTCTCTGAGATTTCTTTAAAAGAATCCTAGCTAAAGTTTTTACTCAGCTGTGCATAGGGCTCTGTCGGAAGAGAGGACTGCTGAAGGCAGCCCACTGACCACCCTTAAACGTGAGCCTCCAGCTGGCTGGGAAGCAAAACCACTGCTTGGGTCCGTTCCCGGTGGCGGCCACGGTCTGTGGGGACTCAAGGCGGCCAGTCTCCCCCGGCCCTAACCCTGCCCCAGGCTGAGGGAACACCAGAAGACATGACATGTCTCATTTGCCATCCTCCCTTCTGGGGAAACCGATATGAGGAAAGGAGTGGCCTGGCCTTGCTTTCATGCCGACGCTGACTTGTCTCCCCCCCCGGTCTGATTGGGTCTGTCCGGCTTATCAAGAGAGCATGCAGTTCTGTCCAGAGCACCGGACACAGTGACGGACCTGGCCGCGCCCCCTCCTCTCAAGAGCCGCCTGCAAATGTTTGCATTACATTTGCCAAAAAGTGTCTTGTGTTGGCTGGTCTGAGTTGCAGCTGGTGGATTGCATTGTAAAGCAGTATTATAGTGAAGTTGAGAAACTGATATGGGGGTGGGGGGTGTTTCACGCGATGATCTGTGGCAACCATCAATGTTCATGCCGGTTCCATTGGACTGGACTATGCAGGAAAGATGGAGATCCTAGCAATTATTTAATATTTTGTTATTTGCAGGGGGAGGGGGGAAATGGCTGCTTTGTAGGAAGATTCTGTGTGTACCGTGAAAGCAAATTCCTCTTGTATATAAGCCCATTATCCATTATCATGGTAGTGATTAAAAATAACAGGCTCACCTCGTCATGTAGATAAGGAACGCTCTGTCTGTACTATTCAAATCTCATTGTGTTCACTGGAAACAAAGCTCCGTGTTCAATAAAGCACAGCACAAACTCAGAACCTGCGGGGACAGCCAAGCCCAACAAGGCCTTCTCCCTGGCAACCTCCAGCGGACCCGGAAGTGGTTTGCCGTTTTCTTTTTACTTCTGGTTTTCTTTGTTTGTTTGTTTAAAAAAAAAATCTGAACAACGACAAAAAAGTTAAAATACAGGGAAATAAAAATGCAAAAAAAATCGGAAGGAAAAATCTCTATGCAAAAGGGGAAGAAGACGAAGAAGGTGTCTCCTTTCCACCTGTGTGGCCCCCCGTGTCGGGCTCCTTCCCCCCCTTTGGCTGCCACGAGGCCCTCCACCTCCTCCGCTGCCGCCGCCGCTGCTCCCTTGGCTTTCTCTCCCCTCCCACAGCAGGTTGTCCAACGGCCGTCAGAAATAGGTGGATTTAAGGCTCCGGGGTTCTTTTCTTGGCTTTCTTTGGGCATGCCTCTCCAATTTGTGCTTTCTGTTTCCCCCCAGCTGTATGACGGGAATAAAAAGGCACCCTTACCTGGTAGGGGTGTTGTGATTCTTCACTTGCTGGCATTGGCTGAGTGTTTGGAGGTCTTTGGGGGGGGAACCCTCGGGGGGGGAGGCCATGAGGATAACGGCTGGCTCAGCCCCTCTGTCTCCCTCTGTTTGGTTCATGTAGCATCTTGTCCTCTTCCCCCCCCCCTTTACTGTACTGGCCCCCCTCCCTCCTTTCATCCCACAAGCCACTGAATCGTTCTAACGCCCCATTTCAAGCCAGTAGAAAGTCTCGTTGACTACCGTGTTGTCATTTCCGTGTTGGGAAACGGATACACAAGGAACGGCAACACCACCCTTCACCCCTGGCAAGAGCTGCCGCCTGTCACCAAAGGGGCATGGAATGACAGGGCAGGAGGAGAATGCAGGCCACAATGTCACAATGGGCACCTTTTGCGAGCTGCAAGTGTTCTTTCGAAGCGTCTTGTCTTTCGTGGTGATGGGCCCTTGTGGGTGGTGCTCGGGCTAGTGGTTAGTGCGCACTTCCCCACCTTTCGAGGGTGACAGTGAACATACAAAGCAGTGCTCCCTCTGAGCTGTGGAGTCCTGAGAGCAAAAATTCTGCTTTCTGAGCTAACAGCCTTAAAGGTGTGAGCAGGTGATTTGGCTGCTGCATACATCAGTTTGCTCTGGAGCCAGCCCTCCTTCCTGAGCTCAGACAAAAATGTGTGAGCCAGTGGCTAGAAAACTGTGAGCTCGCTCACACTAACTCATCTTAGAGGGAACACTGATACAAAGGTATTCGCATGGGGATGCAAGGATATTAAACATACAGACACAAACCCCCAGACTGACATGGCATTTCTTCTTGAGGCCTCCTTTTTAAAACGTTTAAGTCAATTTTATCTTTATGGAACTCCCTAAAGCTCAGAATAGCCACACTCATAGGGTGACTAGAGAGGAAAAACACAAGTGAGATCTTGTGAGAACTTGCGACTGGCTTGGCTTGGGCTTCTCCATGCGGCAGCACACATCCACACCCTTTGTGCCCATGTTTGTGAAGAGGGCT